AGAGAAATATTGTCTAAAACGAGGAGTAAAGAGCACACGTCTGAACTCCAGTCACTGCTCGACATCTCGTATGCCGTCTTCTGAAAAAAAAAAAAAAAAAAAAACAGTACAGCTAATCCCTAGAGTGAATCATCTGCATGGGGCCCAGTGTAAATGGGAGGTGAGCCTACGGGGTTCAGGTGCATGGGTTGTCTTTCAGTATGTCATCTCAGAAATGTCCTCTGCTGCATTGTATGTTGTCAAGAGAGGCTATGAAATGACATCTAGACCGATCAACTTAAAACTACTCAAACTAAGCTGCACTAAGAGTCACACAGGAAAATAATGAACAGAGCATTCCCCAATACCTCCTGTTAGAATAATTAGAATAATTCACCCTGGCAAGGGGCAGTTGACCCATCTCAAGCAAGTGTTTTAGTTTCCATTTTCCCACATCAAGTGCTGGCACTCAGTCAGGATTTTAGCTGCACCCAGAATCAATTAGTAGCACATGCTGAACCATTTGGTGTAAAACCATTCTCTTTGAGCCAGTGCTATGTTCTTTCTAGCATAGAGGTATGAATTAGAAAAGATGGGATCGCTTAAGAGCCATGAGCTTCTGATTTCTTAATTGTCAGGTCCAGGCTTAATATGCAAGGGAAAAGGAAGTGGAATTGTTTCTGTTGGCAGAAAAACAAGGAAGTGGAATGGTTTCCTCCATAGACACACACTCAAAATGCAGGCTTTCTTGTGAGCACCCTTGGTAGGGAGCTGACAGGGCTGTGTGTGTTAGTCGATGGCAGGCGTCACAGACCTGGGCGTGCCGGGGGCTTTAGGTGTATAGTTTACGTTTCAGTAAATGTATATGGCCATGTAATCATCACCCCCAACAACCTTTCACGGTTTTTTAAAAAAAAGATTTGTTTGCTTATGCATACAGAACTGGGGTACAGGCCAGAGGTGTAGGGGTGGTGAGAGGATTCACCAGAGACAGAGTGGGGAGCAGAACAGGCAGATCTTCAAAGTACACTGCAGAGGGGAGCAGCGGGTGAGAGACAGGAGATCTGCCGTGCCATGTGGGTCACCATTGAAGCAGCTGCTGGGCTTTAACCTTTACACCACCAGGGAGGGCCCCCCTTTTTTTTTAAATTGCCCTTTTTTTTTAAGCTTTATTCGTACAGAACTGGGGTACAGGACAGAGATGCGGAGGGTGAGAGGATTCACCAGAGACAGAGTGGGGAGCAGAACAGGCAGACCTATGAAGTACACTGCTGAGGGGAGCAGCGGGCGGGTCAGGAGAGGTCTGCTGCGTCATGTAGTCTCCTCCGGGGCTGGCGGGGATCGAACTCATGCAGAAGCGGCTTTTAGCTTCTTAGTGGTGTGCTTTAACCCGCTGCGCCACCAGGGAGAGCCCCTCTTTTTTTTTTTTAACCCTGAATTCACACCTCTCATGTTCCTTTAAAGTCAACTCTTTCTAGTCCAACCCAGGTAGTCTCTTCTCAGAATGCTCTCACTACAGAGCCCTGCTCTGGAACTTCGTGTCACGGAATCATGCAGGATATACTCTTTGTGACAGTTTGTGCCAGCAGGTTAGCGACTCTGCCCTGCTGCCAACTTGTTGTGTGCCCTCACTGCCCCTCCCCCGTACACATACTCTTGTGCCTTCCTTAATTTCCCCACAAGTAAACTGGATTTTTCACTCCTCCAGGTTCCCTAGCCGAGTTACTGCATTAATTTGAACTTACTTCATTTTCTGACATTTCTAAAGAAAAAAAAAAAAGGTTTGGAACATAAAAAGGGGCATCAAATTAAATGCCATTTCCCCCCACTTATGCTCCTGGAAGAGTCCTAATGACTCTGGGCTGTTCCCTTACTGCCACATGGGGCCTCATTGAGTAATAGATTTGCAGAGAGGATATCTGGGTAGCACAAGGCTGGGCTGCCCCTCCTCCTCCATTAAGTCTGGACTAAGGTTTCCTCGTGCATTAGTGGCAGCTGGGTTGAGGGTCAGATGTCAAATACTCTGTTGTGATGGGAGAGGTAATTAGACCACGAATTGGGGAAGCTGGGATGGGAAGGGCTCTCTGCGCCAGTGGGAAATCAGGACCCACAATGAAAGACAACCTGAAGGCTTGTTTGCCTTGTCCCATCTCCCCCAGTTCAGCATAAGACAGGACATGGCAATAGCTGGCCCTGCTTTAATCAGGAGAGTTGAGTGAGCCAGTGACCTGATGTCACTTTAAAGTTAAATGTAATGCTTTGCTTTGAAGATGAGTTACTTGCCCACACAAACCCATCCAGCTTTTTTCCTACCTCAAGTTGATTTTTGGAGTGACCACCATTTTTGTGAAGATTCAGAAGCCTCAATTAATACCTAGTGGCTTGAGTAACATTTATCTTTTGGTCCATTTATTATTGCATTTGACAATTATTTATGTAGTTGGGCTCTCCCTGGTGGCGCAGCGGGTTAAAGCGCAGCACAGTGAAGCTCGCCATAGCCTCTTCAGCTCAAGTTCGATCCCTGGACAGGGAGCTGGTCTGCATGGCACAGCAGACCTCTCCTGACCCGCCTGCTGCTCCCCTCATTGATCTGCCTATCCTGCTTCTCGCTCTACCCCCTGCACCTTTGGCCTGTACCCAGTTCTGTATACATAAATACATAAACTTTTTTTTAAAATAAAAGAAATCTTTATAAAAAAAAAAAAGAAAAGGCAATTATTTATATACTACCATAAACAGATCATGGTGCTGAGCACCCCAAAGACCAGTGAGATGATCTTTGCTTACAATGATCAGTGATATGGTCTTGGCTGGCTGACAGTCCAGCAGGCGAGTGAGGCTTATATGCACTAGTTGCAATATGAGGGAAGCTGTGAGGTGGCCAGAAGCTGGGTATAAACAGTGCTTCAGGAATTCCAAGCTGAGAAGGAACGGTGTTTGGTCTAGACAGTAAGCTTTATGGGGAACATACCTTGTCATGTGGGGAGAATTTTTTTTTAAATAATATAGTAGTTTATTTTTACATCATTTTGTACATTTTTTTTTTAAAGATTTATTTATTTGCGCATACAGAGCTGGGGTACAGGCCAGAGGCTCAGGGGCGGTGAGAGGCTTCCCCAGAAACAGAGTGGGGAGCAGAACAGGCAGATCAATGAAGTACACTGCTGAGGGGAGCAGCAGGCGGGTCAGGAGAGGTCTGCCGCGCCATGTGGTCACCTCCGGGGCAGGCGGGGATCGAACTCATGCGGAAGTGGCTTTGGCTTCTTAGTGCTGTGCTTTAACCCGCTGCGCCACCAGGGAGGGCCTGTACATTTTTTTTTTTTATCTCAATTGTAATCCCTGTGGGTTTCCCATCACCAAGTCACCCATGTGCCATCACCATAGTCCAGTGCATTTCCTTCCCCCTACCGTTTTTGATCCCACTCCCTACTCCACCCCCACAAAATGTCTCTGGTATATGGCTGTGCATTATTCTTATTATTTTCTCACCTGTTCCATTATACCCCTGTTATGAATGAAACCATTCGGTATTTTTCTTTTTCTTTCTGGCTTATCTCACTAAGCATGATCTTTTCCAGCTCCATCCAAGTTGCTGCAAAAGATATGTGTTTCTTTTTTTTTTTTGGTTGCTGAGTAATATTCCATGGTATATATGTACCACATCTTTTTAATCCAGTCATCTACTTCTGGGCATTTGGGCTGCTTCCATGTTTTTCCAGTTGTAAATAAAGCAGCAATAAACATGGGGGTGCTGGTATCTTTTTGAATCAGTGTTTTTGTGTCTTTTGGGTATCAGATACCGAGGAGTGGGATTGCTGGGTCATAGGGAATCTCCATGTTAAGCAGTTTGAGGAACCTCCAAATAGTTTTCCATAGTGGTTGTACTAGTTTGCATTCAGTGAGGAGAATTTTAATAGGTAGAGAGGAGATTGGGAACTTACTTGAAGAGCAGAAATAAAGACAAGAAGGAATTCATGGGTATGTTTTGGTGATACAGGGGTCCTTACACTGTGGTATGTTGTCTCATACCTGGCTGAGAACCTCACTTTCCCCTTGCTTTGCAGATCAATGAGCTGAGCAATGTCCCTGTCCCTGTCATGCTAATGCCAGATGACTTCAAAGCCTACAGCAAGATCAAGGTGGATAATCATCTCTTCAACAAGTAAGTTGCCTACTGAGTGGGCTCAGATTTTGTGGGTGGCTCTTGCCCTCAAGACAGAACTTCTGAAAATTCCTGCTTGCTGGGTGCCAAGTCAGCACCCGGCAGAGTGACATCGACACCTGGATCACAGCTGAAAAGCTACTGGGAAATGCTTTCAGTGCCGGCCTCTCCCCCTGGTGTTGTCCTCTCACTCCTGCAGCCTACCTCAGTCCCTGGGGCTGTGGCCCGCCCTGGGTGGTTCATCTAGGGTTAGTTTAGGTAGACCTGAGCTCCTCGGAAGCAGGTGTGCGGTAGGAGGCTGACAGCAGGTTCTATCTGGATCTGAGTCCGAGGCAGGCGGCTGCCAGGCATGCTCTTGGCCTGGGTTGTAGCCAAGCTCCTGCTCTCCAACTGTTGTGTGAACACTGGGCTGAGCACGCGCCCAAGGGCACTGTCCAAAGTAACTTCGCATTTTTTTGTTCCCTGTGGCTTCTTGGATTTACACTGGTGTGTGAAAGTGTCTCGTTTTCATGGAGCAGCTGTCTCAACTGGCAGTGTAGTCTGTTTTAAGCCCCTCGGAGACCTAGTTTTTTCACTCCACTATGGGTCCCCCCAGGAATTACTTAGTGATCACATTCTCTTCCTTTCTGCATTTGATTCCTCGTTCCACTCTCCATTGTCCCACAGTCCCCACCACCTCACCAGCTGGGCTTTGTCATGCCACCATTCCCAGGCTGTTAGCCCGGAGGAGAAGCTTGATTTGAAACCATCCCTTAGTGGCCTCTCTGCCATAGTAAGTAATAACATCTTGTTCTAGAAGCTGTCTGTCTCCATTGCTGCTGCTTGCTACGTGGCCACCTATGCAGATGGAGAACTCCCCTGTGTTTCCTCTTGCCGCACACAGCCGCCATCCTTCACTCATTCTGACATCAGCTGTGTGGGTTTTCTACATCTTGAGCGGTTCTGTGACACCAGCAGCGTGTACTGCAGTTCAGTCCAGCGCTGACACGAGGCACCGGGAGTCAGTGCCAGGCCCCATGGATGAAGGCCTCAGGTCTATGAGAGCCCCTTGCTCCCGCCACTTTTGATGCCAAACACATATTCAGGTTGTCACCTGTGCTTCTTTCAAACTACTGTAGATTGGAGAGTTCCCCAGTGTCCCCATCCCCAGGCTTGTATGTTTGATAGAGAAACTCCCAGAATTCAGGAGAAGAGTTTACTTCCTAGATTGCCAGCTTATAAAAAGATACAAACTCAGGACCAGCAAATGGAAAAGTTACTTTGGGCAAGGGATGTGGGAAGGGGTGTGCCACCCCCACACCGCCAGATGCTCACCAGCCTGGAAGCTCCTGAATCTGTCCTTTGGGCTTTGTGGTGGCTTGTTTATAAAAGCATGATGGATCAAACCATTGGCCTTTGATGACCGAGTGTACCTTCAGCCCCTCTCCCGTCCCAGTTTCACCAGGATGTGAAACTGAAATTACCAGCCCTTCACCCTAATTGGTTCCCCTGGCAATCTTAAGAGTTTCCAGAAGGCATCTCTTTAACATAAACTTAGGTGTGGTTGAAAGGGCTTGTCGTGTTCTGTCGCAGATGTCAGGGCTCTGGAAGCTGCTTTGCACTGCCGTCTTGGAGGGTCTTTGACCTCTGGTGAAGTTCTGCCGCCTTGATACCTTGGCCTAAAGCAGCCTCTTCTAGCTTTCTTGAGTCCCTTTGTCCTTTGAACAACTGTTGATGTGCTAGTTTCTAGCGTCCAGTGCTGTTTACCAGAAGACAGGGGCGTACGCGGCCTGCGCGCGAAGCCGTTGGCTTTTCGCTCCTTGCAGTCTGTCATCCTGGAGCCATCAGAGGGATTTGCTTTTGAAAGGGAGTGTTGCAAGCAGGGTGACTCTTGCCACGATGGAGGACTTGGAGGAGGCATCACTTCAAGGTGATTCTCTCTCCTCCTGGGAATCAGTGTTGACTAAGGAGTGGGAAGCGTGGAGATTGTGCCAGCAGCCAGCATTAAGGTTTCAGGAACAGATGGGATCCTAGTCAACTGACTCTTCTATCTGTATCTCCCTTCCCCTCCAGCCCAGTGGAAGCCATGGGTGGGGCTTCCTGGGATGTAACCATCTTCAGGATGTGTTCATTTAAACATCTCCACAGGAGAGGGCCCTTTCCCTTCATAGTCAGACCAGACCGAAGATCATCTCACAGCAGACATTCCTTGCAGTCACCCGTCTAGAAAGTACAGTTGCATGATGTGAGGTCTGTTCTCAGCCTTGCAGTTCAGGTGTTTTCCCTGCAAGGTAAATGTGGTTGAAAGGTAATCTACACTCAGTAGGAATGCGTAAATCATAAGTGTACAGCTAGATTAATTTTTACAAAGTGAATTCACAAGTTGAAAAGTTCTTAAACTTTTTAACTTGCTCAGATTCGCCTGGACTGTTTGTTCAAAATGCAGATTTCCACACTTAGTTCCAGAACTTGTGGAGCCTAGAAACTTTCATTTTAAGCAGTTCAGGTCCAGATCTGTGGAATGCACTTGAGAGGTTCTGATTAGGCCTTAAGATGAGCAAGGAGAGAGTCACGAAGTGTTTTTTCTGCTTTTTCCTAGGGAAAACCTCCCCAGCCGCTTTAAGTTTAAGGAGTACTGCCCCATGGTGTTTCGAAATCTCCGAGAAAGGTTTGGGATTGATGATCAGGATTACCAGGTATGGGGTGTCTTTGCGGAATTGGGGGGGTTGGGCAGTGGAGTGGGGTCAGGAGGCCACAGGCAGGACAAGTGGAGGAGAAAGTGCCTGCTGGGCTCATGCTCTGTCTTCCTGCCAAGTCTCCCTGGCCCAGGCAGTCTCTCCAGAAGGGGCGGGTACTTGGGGTGGCCGGGGCGGGCCTTAGGAGTGCTTCTGACTCCTTTCAGGCACAGGCTTCATGAGAGCAGGCCCAGCTCTGCTCCTCGGGAGGGAGAGGAACGGGAGGGAGAGGGCCCACGGAAGCTGCTTCATTTCAGTCTGACATTCCCAGTCTAGGCTGAAGAACCCTTCTCCTTCGTAGTTTGACTTAAGAGAGAGAATTGTTGCCAGCGAGAGATGAGTCCTCTTAAAGCAGATAAGACAGATTAGAAAAGGAAGACTTCAAGGGTAGTGTAACCTCTTGCCAGGTATGAGTGTCGCCTCCTGAACATATCTCCTGCCTGGTGTTGGGAGGGGGGTAGACATGGCCGGCAGCCGCCCCCTTTGAGCAGTGAGGCTGTCATGGAGCCCTTTGACCTACAGGGAGGAATCAGTCCCCAAATGAGGGACGAGATCGGCTGAGTCATAATAGCCTGTGGTCTCCATTCCTTTCCACCTAGCACCTTCCCTGTACTTTCTTCCCTTGGCAGACAGCCTGGTAGCGAAGGTGGGAGAATTTTCCACTTCGCTTTGAGAGCATTAAGAAATATAACTTAACTTCATTTGTCTGTGAGGAGAAGTGTATAGCCTGGAATACTGTAATTTCCGAGTCTCCTGGCCCCTGCCCCCCACCACCCACAAAGATATGGGCCCTGGGCGGGGGTGGGGAGGTGTTGAGTGGACGCGCAGTCAAGACTGGCCCTCTCAGGGCTATCCCCATCTAAGAGGTACTGGGAGGTCCCTCCAGCCCCTTCTGTTAGGTCAGAGTCCTCAACTCAGTCGTGACCTGGTTGGAGCCTGAGGTTTTCTGAAAACTTCCTGCCATTATTGCAACCTGAGGTTGCTAGGACCGCTTTTCTCGCGTGGTGTCTTCCCTTCCCTCAGCCATCCAGCCACATCCTCTCAGTGTCTGCGTTTTTTTCTCTGATAGCCTTGTGGGCAAAAATCTGTGCCCAAAACTGAAATGGGGACAGGGAGATTGTGTTTAAGGAGAGGACTCTACGTGTGGACTACCCACGCTGCGGGGTCCAAAGTGACGCTGGCAGTGAGGCCGGGATAGGCCGCCTCCCGCCTGGGCTCAAGGCCTGCAGGTCTTCCTGGGAGAGTGAGGCATGCAGTCATGTAGCCTATTCATGGACAGGGGGCGCCCAGTTTTGAGGGGTGCTCTTTTAGTTTAGAGAGCCCCTTGCCCCTTCAGACTTACATTTCTGCCTTGAGGCAGTGCACCTCTCTTTACCTAGGTGAAGGGACAAGTAGGATCCAAGGCCGGGCCTGAGGAAAGGACTCAGACATGAGGCATTTCTGTGAGGGATTCCCACGTGTGTTTTCTTAGGACCAGGGACATTTGGGCTTTCCTCCTCGACCTCGTTCTGCCCTCTGCTTGTTTGACACATCCCCTTGATTGACATGCCTTCTCCGCCAGGCCCTCGGAGGCTTCTGGTGCTTTCTGATCCTAAGGGAAATGGGTGGAGTGGAGTAGAGGCAGAACCGGGAAAGCTCCCCAGAACCACGTTGTAATCCTGTACAAGGTTCAGGAGTTGAGTGAGGAAGAGGGGTCAGGCACCAGGATGAGGATCAGCTTCCTGCTCTTGGAAAGGTTTTCCAGGGAAAGAGACGACCATGTCCATGGTTTCCTTATACTAGACTTCTGGAATATTTCCTAAACGGTCACCTCAAGAGACGGGGAGAATCAGCTCCCACATCCTGGTGTTCAGGTGCGGAAGCTCAGGGGCAGAGAAGTGAAGTGGCTTCTGCGAGGCCTGAGGGAGCACCCTGAGCGCGAGGCCAGTGGGGTGCAGGGAGCGCTGAGCTCAGTGAAGGAAGCATTTCCCAGCGTTCTTCCCTCTCGGTTGGGGGTCAGGAGCCAGGTTGGGGGGGAGAACATTTAGGACCCTCTAGGAGGCTGAGCTTCCCACAGAAAGGGTGGGCAGCTGTTGCTTTGGAGCGGCAGTGTGGCCCACGCCAGAAGACTCAGAGTAGACGCCAGAGCCCTGTTCTCCCAGCCTGCCCTTGTCTTGGTCCATCAGAACTCGGTGACGCGCAGCGCCCCAGTCAACAGTGACAGCCAGGGCCGCTGCGGCACGCGCTTCCTCACCACCTATGACCGGCGCTTCGTCATCAAGACGGTGTCAAGCGAGGATGTGGCCGAGATGCACAACATCTTAAAGAAATACCACCAGGTATGGTGAGTCCCAGTCTGGACGTTGGAGGAGGGGCTGGAGGGGGAGAAGAGAGCCCCAGTGGAGCTTTCCGGGAGGGTCGGTCCTCGCGGGTGGCGTCAGACACGTGGGCACTCAGCACCTGGCCCCGCCCTGTGTTGTGCTGTTGCGAAGTGGAAGCTTGAGAGAAGACGTGAGAGCGGGCGGCTGGCAGGCCCAGCGAACAGCTGTTTCTTGTCAGCGTCGGGAAGTCTTCGCGCTCTGGCACCTGCTTCATTTCTTCTCAATGCGGTCTGGGCAGGCGGCAGGGCTGCTGCTTCTCCGTTGCGGCCCTCCTGCCTCTGCGATCCGTCCACGAGAAAAGCAGGGAGTAGGGCACCATCTGCATACCGGTCCTGAGCCTGTGGGGGCTTTTTTTTTTTTTTTTTAGATTTACTTTTATTCATTCATATAGGAACTGGGGTCCAGGCCAGAGGTGCGGGAGGTGAGAGGATTCACCAGAGACAGAGTGGAGAGCTGAACAGGCAGATGTTCTGACATACACTGCTGGGGGGAGCAGTGGGTAGGATGGGATGGGGATTGAATTTAGGCCTTAGTTGCTAGTCATAATTTAATAGCTCTGAGACTTAACTCTTTGTGCCACCAGGGAGGCCCTGTGCGGGGGGGCTTTAAGGAAAGCTGGCTTCTCTCTGTGGTGCCTGAAAATTGGTAAAGAGGAACTTCCAATTTGGGGGAGTTTACAGCAAGGCCTGGGCAGGGCACGGTTAGGAGCTGTTAGAGAGGGGTCTCCCTGATGGCACAGGAATGAAAGCCTCAGCATTATGAAGCTCTCAGGAGCCACTGCAGCACGAGTTCGATGCCCAGCCAGGGAGCTGACCCACATGGCGCAGCAGACCTCTCCTGACCCGCCTGCTGCTCCCCTCAGCAGTGCGCTTCAGTCAGCCTGCTTGTTTTGCTCCCCACTCTGTCTCTAGTGAATCCTCTCACCACCACCACCACCACCTTTGGCCTACACTCAGTTCTTGTATGCATAAATAAATATTTAAAAAAGAGAGAGAGTAGAGCCATTCTGTTTCTCAGACACCTGGCTTATAGCTCTGCCTCCACAGTCCCCTCTGTCCTTGGGCTTTCTCATTTCAAGCCAGTAGAGGAGATGCAAGGCCGAGATCAGGGGTTTTCCTGCCATGAAAACTAGGGCAAAGGTGTGCCCTACGTGCTCAGCCTCTACTCTGCCATGCCAGTTGGGGGTGACTTTGCCTGAGGAAGTCCCATGATTTCACAGAACACATTTAGAAGGCCACTAGTGGAAAAGTTGGGGGTCTCTGGTGGAACCAGGGTTAAGTCTCGGCACTACAAGCTGTTCACAGTCCCTGCAGCACGAGTTCGATCCCCAGCCGGGAGCTGACCCACATGGCGTGGCAGACCTGTCCTGTCTGGCCCACTGCTCCCTTGGCAGTGTGTTTCAGTGGGTTCCCACTCTATCTCTGGTGATCCTCTCACCCCCTGCACACTTCTGGCCTGTACCCCAGTTCTTGTATGCATGAATAAATAAAACAAATCTTTAAGATTAAAATCCTGGGGAATGTTCACCCTGGAGAATGCCCTGTCCACCCAGCACTTTCATAAATTCCTCCGCCTTCCCTCCCTTTCTTCCTAGTTCATAGTGGAGTGTCATGGCAACACCCTTTTGCCACAGTTCCTGGGCATGTACCGGCTGACCGTGGACGGCGTGGAGACCTATATGGTGGTCACCAGAAATGTGTTCAGCCATCGGCTCACTGTGCACCGCAAGTATGACCTCAAGGTAAGGTCGCTGTGTCTCCCAGCTCTGTGGCTGCCTCTGCCCTGAGACTGGGCCCGGCCTCTGCCACTTAGCGGGAAGGCTGGTGCGCATATTGTGGCGTGAATAGGTGACCAGAGCTGATGTGGACCAAAGGCTGGTCAAAGGCCAGGGGACAGTAACGAGAGGTTCTTTAGCTCTAAATGTGCCAGATTCATGTGACAGTCACTGTTCTCCCAGTCCTGTCAGTGGGATGTGCACACGAGGGCAGCAGCGCGGGTCGGGCTGCGCGACGCCCTCTCTGCCCTTGCCCAGGCTTGCTGGATTGGCCGTCCGAGTGCATTTCCAGACACACCTGTGCCAGGGGCCTGGGACTCTGTTGTCTCTGAACCCAGCTTCCCGGCTTCTGTCACCTCACACCCCTCCACGTCTGCCTCTCCCATCCCTAAGTGCCCGATGCCTCCTGCGCCAGATCTCACATAGGCTGCCTGGACCCCTCCCCTTCCAGTCCTCCCCTCTTCCTGCCCTGTTGTCTACCTCCGCCTTCCCCCACCAGTTACCCTTCTGAGTTTCATTCAAGTATCAGTTCTCCCAGGAAACAGGCCTTGGCCTGCAGCTCAGGCCCTGACCCTGGCACCTGCTTGGCGCGTCCTGCATCCTCCCCTTAGCACCTTTGTATCTAATGAGTGACTACTTAACTGAGTAGCTACTGCGGGATGTGTGGCCCTGTGAGAAGGAACATTCCCTGCGGGCAGGCACTGTCCTTTGGTGTGGTCCTGTTTCCTGAGCACCCCGCCTGCCCGCACATGCGCAGAGCTCTGTAAATGGCCTGTGACAGCGGACATGAGCAAGCTGCTGCCTCCTGGCCCCTTCAGGATTCTAAACAGCCTGCTCCAGTTCCCCTGCTAATTTTCCCCAATTTCACTTGGTGAATTGACTTCAGCAGGACTTCTCCTGATAGTTTGTTTTTTTGTTTGTTTGTTTTAAAGATTTATTTATTTGTACATACAGAACTGGGGTACAGGCCAGAGGCTCAGGGGCGGTGAGAGGCTTCACCAGAGACAGAGTGGGGAGCAGAACAGGCAGATCAACGAAGTACACTGCTGAGGGGAGCAGCGGGCGGGTCAGGAGAGGTCTGCCATGCCATGTGGTCTCCTCTGGGGCAGGCGGGATTTGAACTCATGCGGAAGTGGCTTTAGCTTCTCAGTGCTGTGCTTTAACCCGCTGCGCCACCAGGGAGGGCCTCTCCTGATAGTTTTTATCCTTTCAGGGTTCTACTGTTGCCAGAGAAGCAAGTGACAAGGAGAAGGTATGCTCGGGCTTGTGCTGGTCACGTGTGGCTGGGTCAGTTGGGTCAGAGTCCCCTGTCAGCCGTCCTGCCCGTTCCTCCACTGCAGCCCCCAGATAAGAGTCTGTCAGCATGGGATACTCTGTGTCGCTCAGTCCTACCTGTTCTCATCCTTCGCCTCTGGCTAGGACTGCAGCTTTAAACTTCTGCCCTTGCTGGGTTCTTCACAGTCCTCAAGAACCAGCAGTTTCCATCTTAGAGCCCAGCCTGAGTCAGAGAGTGGCTGCCCAAGTTTGAGGTAGTCCAGGCTTGGCAGGAGGCCCTGCTTTAGTCACTTCTCATTGTTTGACATATGCACCCGAGTGGCCATCCGTCCCTGCCTGGCAGAGCCTAGGATGTTGCCTCCTGCACTGAGCTTTGGTTGGCCCATTGACCGTCTGTGTGCTAAGGACTCTTCCCTTTTCAACACCATTGTCCCAGAAGAGCTCCCTGGGGTGGATGGGTCAGGCCTCCCCATCCTGACTGTTGTTCTCCCAGGCCAAGGACTTGCCAACATTCAAAGACAATGACTTCCTCAACGAAGGGCAGAAGCTGCATGTGGGAGAGGAGAGCAAAAAGAACTTCTTGGAAAAGCTGAAACGGGATGTAGAGGTACTTCCTAGCCCTCATTTGCATGGTAGTCGAGCAGGGCTCCCTCTTGTCCCCAGAGCAGGAGCCTCTTTGATCTTAAGAAAAATTGAACTCACTGCTGTCCAGGAGTGCAGACAAAGGAAGCGTGATTGCGCGTGCAGGGGAGCGCGCCATTCGGGGAGGGACCCGTCTGTGCCCGTGGGACCGCTGCAGCACCTTCCTCAGATTACCCTTCCTGCTTCGCTTGCTGGTGGCCCCTGGGGAGGGGCAGCCTGCCATCAGTGACCGGAAGCCAGCTGTTAGGACCCTCCAGCCAGACCCTCCTCTGGCTCCAAGCCCTCTGCTTGGAAGGGGGCATCCTGTGGGGAGCCCTCCGTGGAGGACAGACGCTAAGTGGTGCCTGTTACCCGGGCTGCTTGATAATTTGCTGGCTACTGTATTTTAATAAATTGGGGGTCTGCTTACTAGGGCCAAATCCTACAGACCTTAAAGAATATTTTTTATTGTGGTACAGTACATGTAAATACAAGATTGTAACCATTTTCGAATGCTTAGTTCTGTGACATTGTTTATTCACACTGTGCTGTGGCCACCCTTCCACCCTTCCAGTCCCTGGAATTTTTCATCTTCTACAACTGAAACTGTACACAATAAACACTGACTTGCCCCACCCTACCCTACTATTCTACTTTTTGTCTCTGTGAAACTGCTTCGGAACCTCAAATAAGCAGAATCATAATTGCCCTTTGTGACTAGCTTATTTCACTTAACACAATGTCTTCAATGTTGTAGCCAATGTCAGAATTTCCTCTTTAAGACTGAATAAACTTCAGTGTGCATGTGTATGGTACATATCTCAACCCCTTGTTTGTTTACCCATGCAATTGTTGATGGATACTTGCATATCAAGATTCTCTAGAGAAGCAAAACCAGTACAAACCAGTGGGCTGGAGAGAGAGACAGGGTGGCTAGGTAGATGGCTGCTCATTGTAAGGAATCGACTCATGACTGGAGGCTGCAGAGAGCAAGCTGGAGACCAGGGAGGGCTGATGTTCGCTCCAGCGTTAGAAGGCAGGAAAGCGCTGATATCTCAGCGCAGGCAGGAAGGAGGACTTCCTCTTGTTCTGTTCAGGCCTTCAACTGGTTGTCCGCCTCACTTCATCTTACGTAGTCTGATGTTTCTTGGTTTATCTGTGGCACTGAGTAATGCTTAGCAGTGCTGATCCTTGCTCACTAAATTGGATCTAGGACTCACAGTGGGCTGAGATTGGTGCTTTGAAGAGACACTACTGTGTCGCATGCCTCTCGCCAGCCTTTTCCGCAGTGTTCCTTTGCATTATTTCCCGCTTCAGACTCGCTTCAGACTCGGCTGTGCAGGCTGTTACTTCCTGCAGCGCTCCCCCTGCCTCTGTCCGCCTGGCTCCTCTTCACACGACCCTTCCTCCCGGTCTTGAGCCCTCCCCTCAGGGAGGCCCTCACCCTGCCTGCTCCCTGCCCGTGGGGAGCTTGCTGAGGGCAGATACCCCATGTCTTGTTCCCTGTTGTGCTCAGAATCAGGACTGAGTTGAAAGTTCCCCCTTCCTCCTCTTTCAGGCTCCACTGCGATGTGCGTGTAGCCTCTTCCTTCCCCTTCTCTCCTCTAGTTCCTGGCCCAGCTGAAGATCATGGACTACAGCCTGCTGGTCGGCATCCACGATGTGGACCGAGCTGAGCAGGAGGAGATGGAGGTGGAGGAGCGGGCAGAGGAGGAGGAGTGTGAGAATGACGGCGTGGGGGGCAGCCTGCTCTGCTCCTACGGCACCCCTCCAGATAGCCCTGGCAACCTGCTCAGCTTTCCCCGCTTCTTTGGTCCTGGGGAATTCGATCCCTCTGTTGACGTCTATGCCATGAAAAGCCATGAAAGTAAGTAGCAGCCTGTGCCTCCTGCCCCCACCCCCGCCCTCATTCTGCCCCTCAGGCAGATGCCCCGTGGGTATGTGGGCCTCATTAATTGCTGGCTTCCGCCACTTGCTGCCTCCACATTCCCCTACCAGGTCATAACTAGTAGCTGTCTTCAGGGGCCCTGGGTCCTTCCATCAGGCTTCCTTCACTTCTCTATCTGAGAGGTCTGAGGCGTGGTTCTGCCTGGTTCATGAGATGCACAAAACCTTATAAACACTGTCATGTTAACCCACAGGGTGACTAAAGAGCAAGTAAGGTTTCCAGAAAGACCCATTTTTCTCAGATCCAAAGTGCTGGACAGATCTGAAAAGTGCTGGGTCCAGCTGGGCCCAGTGCTTTCTGCTCTGCTCCCTGCCCTCTTCCTCCCCTCCCGCTTCCCTTCTCCTGCAGGCGCCCCTAAGAAGGAGGTCTATTTCATGGCCATCATCGACATCCTCACACCTTACGATGCTAAGAAGAAAGCCGCACACGCTGCCAAGACGGTGAAGCATGGGGTGAGGAGGCCCAGACCCCGGCGCAGAAGCCCTGCCCTCCGCAGAGCAGGGATGGGGAAGAGCAGGCCCCACTTGCCTTGTTTTCTCTGCCACCCACAGCCCAGCCGCCCGTGGCTGGGTAATAGCCCAGCTTGTTTTCCTCAGTTGCCCGGCCCTCAGGGCCCCACCTGGGCCTCTCCCCTGGGCTGTTGGCCATGGGGTGCATCTCGTTGACCTCTGGTAATAGCTTTGTTTACATCCCCACACTGCTCCCAGAGGCCATCTCCTGATGAACTTCACGCAACTGTTCTCCAAGCAGGGGCTCCACAGAGATCCAGAGCCTCTCCCCACCTCATTGCTTTGCCCCACGTCAGCAGGTGGAACACTAGGGTTGTGAATCATGGGTGGGCTCAGGGCGATTCTGAGTCATGGGAACCACACCTCAAGGTAGTCTGCTTGGTTTGGGGGCTAGTGTTCAGCTCCCATGGTGAGCCAGAGGCTCCGGAACCCCCAGACCCTTCTCAGGTGCAGTCCCCTGAGGAGAGCCAAGGCGCTCAACCCGAGTCGGCCTCTGTGTCTTTCAGGCGGGGGCCGAGATCTCGACTGTGAACCCTGAGCAGTACTCCAAACGCTTCAACGAGTTCATGTCCAACATCCTGACGTAGTTACCTTCTGCCTTCAGCCAGAGCCAGAGAGCTGGATGTGGGGTCAGGGTGGAAAGAGGGAGCGGGTGTATGTGGGCTACCTGGGAGGGTGGGAGCAGAGTGGGAAGGGGAGGGCTTTGGCAGTGGCCTGCAGCCTGTGGCGCTGAGGCGTGCTGGGGAGAGGCCCGTGCTGCGGCAGCCTGCTCGCAGGATGGGCCCTCACCCGCTTGCCCTTCGCTTTTTTGTTTTACCCAATTGAACCGGGCTAAAAGGGGGTTTCCTAGTTGTTCCCTTGTAACTTTTAAGATACCTTGGGCCAGAGATAACCTCATGGGCTTATTTGGGTTTTATTTCTGAAATTTGATTGCTCCAGGTTTGCTCTTCACAGCAGTGTGTGTCATCACCCTATTCACCCGCCCCATCCTGCCCTGCTGTCACCTCCCTTCAATTAACGAGGCACCCCACAGACCCAGCCGAGGGTCCTCTCAGAGCAGAGCACTCTGACGCCAGAGGAGAAGCGGTCAGACGCCTCGGCCTGGCTGTATTTGCTCTTGTCTGGATTAACTTTTTAATTTTACGGAGTTTCGTGTGCAGCTTCCTCCACCTTTCTGCCTTGGATCCAAGTGAAATGTTACATGATTGATTGCTCCGTGTAAATGCTTTTCTCCCAAAGGAACACTCCAGACCAACATCAGGCATCTTGGATCAGAATCAAAGACCTCAGAGGGGAGTGAGCTCATCTTCACGGGATGGTGAGGGCTAGGGAGCTGGTTCTCAGAGAACCCTGCGATCATCGCCCAGGCCCCTGGGCCCTCAGCCCTGGAGTTCAGAAGGCCTCTCTCTAGAGCCCGCCTCCCGCTGGGCCAAGGGGAACTAGAGACACCTTTGGACATCACGGACCCCTTGTGTTTCAGTGGTTAATTGCCCTTGGGAAAGCCCCAGAAGCCGATGAGCGTCAGCGAGGTCTTGTGCCTCCATCCACTTACTGCCCTCAGACCCTCCCAGGCACCCTCACTTGATGAGCGTTCAGTCGGGTCAGACCTGCACGTGCCTGGGGTGCTCCTTGCTGAGATTGCCCTTCAAGCCCCAGGGCCACCCCGAGTGGAGCTGACTGCCCTCACCTGTGGTCTGCCACCTGGACAGTTGCAGCCACAGGATATGGTGCCCCCTACCATGGAGGCGCCCGAGTCTGAGGTGACCTCTGGGTCACTTGTGGATGTGACCCTAGAAATCCAAATTTGAGGCGGGACATGCGCTTCCACCAGGCCCCGGCCTCGAGGCTGTCTTTCCTTGAGACATCAGTGGATGTGCCACCCGTGGCCCCTCGGGAGGAGTGGCATTCTGCAGTTCCTTCAGGATCTCCACCCACCTGCTCCCCAGGCCCCAGAGGCGAGCTGTGTGTTCCGTGATGCCGTCAGAACAGTCCTGTCTGACTAGGAGAGAACGTGACCCTGTTGCTCTGCTTTGGGGGCGGTACATTCCTGCATCTTCTCACCCCCTTGCCAGGAACTGGGGGTAAGACTTGTAGATTACCCTCATAGAAGTGGACAGTTTGTGGAGCCATTCTGAATGGGTGGATTGGGGTCCAGTGGCACCCTCCCAGTCTGGCCTAGCACGGCTTCTGGAGCAGGGTCCAGCTTGTGTCCCACCTGCAACGTGAAGGGCGGGGAGGAATGGAGATGGCATTCCAGTGGGCCTCCAGACCCTCCTGGAGGCGGCAGATGCAGTCCGGCCACTGCTGTGGCCTCAGGAAGGGGCCATCGTAGCGACGAGCATCAGCAGGAAGGCTGCCCCGTCGCTTGGGGAAGAACTGGAACCAGGTGGCTCGGGGAGAAAACAGCTTTAGTTTTGGACGGGATTGCATAGGAATAATATCTGGACTTGATTTCCCCACTTGCTAATCAAGAATGAAAGTTGGGATCCGCTCCTAGCCAGGCCCAGCACCCCCAAGCCTCGCAGCCCTGGGCTCCCACTGCTTCCTGCACTTGGCCTGCAGACCATGTCCCGGACTGGGGAGTGTGACAGTCACGTGGCTAAAGACAAGCTACCAGGTATCTAACTTCTTTAACATTGAATTTTTGTGTTTTTGTGGATTTTTGTGGTTTTTTTTTTTTTGTATATTGTTTACATTTTGAGAAGTAAGCATTCTGTTTCCAATGCTCTGTTTTTCTGACAGTATTGTTGATTGGGTCGGACATTTGAGCTGTGGTTTGGTGGATTTTAGATTTTTTAAAAAAGGTCATTCATTCTCTGTGCTATCTTCAAAACCTTGGGTTTGGCCCTGTAATTCCTTGGGTATTCAGATGTTTCAAAGCTATTTATCTTGGTTTATACAAGTTTTCTTTCTTTTTGTATTGATGAAGATATTATATTTGGTTTGCAGTCTGAATGTAGAGAAAGTGAACTGATAGCAGGTGTTTGCCCCTCCCCCTTCCTCTGTGCAATGGAAAACATCCAAGGGGAAGTGACTGCTCTCAGCTGCACTCTTAGGAGCCAAGAACAAAAAGCTGAACAGTCCTAGGGCATCCCTGAGTAGGTTTGGGTCTCCCAAGAACCAAGGTATATCTAATAGGACCTGGCTGAGGGCGTGGGGCTGGGTGGGAGTCCTCGTTTCCTCCCTCTGCCACTTCACCCGTCACAGCTTCTTCCCTCCTGCCCTTCTCCTGAAAGCCTGGCTGAGAAACTAGTCTCCCACCCAGAGTGAGGCATTCTCTGAAAGCTCGCCTAGACCACTAGATGAAGGCCTCCGGCCCTGTTCCTGTTCCTGAACCACTGAGTCTTGTCTCCCGATCCAGCTCCTTCCCTGTGCCCTGCAGTGTGGGGCTTGTGGGCAGACTGGGAAGCCAGCAGTTCCAGGAGCTCAGTGCTCCATCTCTCCTTATCTAGCTCAGGGGTTACTGGCCTGTGGCAGGTGCCACGAGTCGCCGCTGGGGCTGTTCTCAGTGGCGCTAAGTTCCTACCACAGGCGCTCTTCCCCCTCCTCTGCCTACTTCACTTTTTTCTCTTGCCTGTTCAGGCCCCCCGATAGTGCTCGGGGCATGAGACTAGACTCCTGCCCTTGTGACTTGCCCCTCTTCAGTCTGCCAGGGCATGCCCTGGGGAGGTGGACCAAAGACCCAGGACTTTTCTTAGTAGCCAATCTCACCCCCCAGTTGTCTTTCACCAATTCATGTTGGGAGAGAGGAAGAAACCTTTGGCACTAAGGCATTTGAGCTACTCGTGTCAGAGGCTGGAAGGGACAGCGTGTATAGCGCTCTGGCCTTAGACCTGTGGCTCCCCCAAGTGCAGGGACCTCACCTCTCTCGGGCAGAAATAGGGGGCGGGGTCTAGCCTGAGCCCAGGAATCAGAGGGAAAACACACTCAAACTGCCCCCAAATCTCCCAGCCACCTGCAGGGGGTAGTGATGTGGCCCCGGCTTTCCTGAGACAGGCCACTTAGCGCCTCCAAAGGGCAGCGCAGACTGGCTCTCGCTACAGCTCGAGTCGAGGTCCTTGAGAGGCTGAAGGGGAAGCTTTGAGAAGAGCCCCTTGCCCTTGCTCGGCCATTCCGGAGGAGGTGAACTCTGCAGCGGGGGAGGCCTGGTGCTGTCCAGCACGCTGAGCGTCAGGCCAGACTGAGGTGATCCAACAATGTGAAAGAAGCTTAAACTTCTGGGGAGCAGGATACACTATCACCCCACCATGTGTGTGATTTCTCGAGTTTCCACTGCAATTTCCATTTTTTAAATAGGAATTTTCACCCCCTGTGCTTGTCTAATGTCTGCTCGGAACAGTTCGAGATCCTGTTATTGTTTTAAAATGCATGCATGTTAAGATGACTCCCAAACCCGAGGGAAAAAATAAAACTCAAAAAGCTTTGTGTACACATCTGTCATGTTCGAGTCCTTTGGAAATGAGCCTGTTTTTTTCCTCCAGAATTAAAATGTTTGATCCAGGTTTCAGAGGCCATCTAAGCTTGGATTTCTCCTCCAGAGAAAGGAAGAGTCCGAGACTGGCCATCCACGCTCAGATCCAGCCAACAAGTGTGGTGAGCACAGGGGTCATCAGCACCCAGAGGAACAGCTGGCTGACCACCGCCCTCTAGCGGAGCCAGGACTGGCTAGGAGCCATACCCCTGCACAGCACCCCAGGTCCCCCCTCCCCCTAGCAGCTGTAGCGCAAGCTACAGGTCCCATGCTCTCTGACCCTCACATTCTCCATGTAAACTATGCTGAACATACAATGGCTCTCAAAGGGGGGTGGGGTGGAACAGCAGTATCAGGGAATCAGAAATGTAAGACTCAAACCCTCCACAGACCAGAGTCGGAAACCGTTATAATGAGTTCTCCAGGTCATACTGGTGCAGGCTCAAGTCTGGGAACTTGTCCAGTAGGGCAGCAAGCTGGAATCACTTGGGGGACTTAGAAAAGGCTCCTGAAGGGGTGGCTGAAGTTATCTTGAGGGATGGGGTCAAAGGAACTGCCTTAGAAGCTCCCAATGTGGCGCTAGCTTGCAGCCACGGTTAGCCAAATTTCTTCCTGAATCTATGAAAGAAAATTTGAGTTTTCCAGTGGAGCTGAATAAAAGATTCTAGACTCTGGAGACAGGGTTTACACATCTTTGCTCAACTACTAATTAAACTGTGTCCCTGAATAAGTTAAACAAGGATAATGTCAGTTACCTTAGGTCATGATGATAGATTCTAGAATACATAAAGCACTTCTGGCAGGGCTTCACTCAGGGCAGACCCTCAGCAAGTGACAGCAAACCACCCCGCGGCAAGACTAGCCAATAGCAGCCAAGGCTGAGCTTCCCCCAAGTGGCCATTTGCAACTGCCCAGCCAAGAACACAGATGTGTGGTAAAAGACAAACAGGATGAGAGAAAAACTTTATTTAAAAAAAAGAAAAGAAAAAGAGTGGTTTCAGGGAACAGTGTTAGTCCATGCGGGCCTTCAGTGTCCTGGTGGTGATTTTGTCCTTCTCACTGTAGAGGGAGAAAGTCGGGAAGCGTTTACACCCATCCAGACTGCGGAACAAGCAGCTGTCCCGCCAGCCTGAGACTACCTGTACAGGTGCATCACTGTCGCTTGTTTCCTCAGCCCCCACCCTGCCCCCGCAAGGAAGGGGAGAAGAACGGGGAGAGGAGAAGTGGGGAGGTGCTGGTGAAGGCTTTCTCAGACCGAACCACCCAGAGTGGACTGCAGGACTGAAGCATGATGTCCTCTGGAGAACAACAGGCACTCCCCAACCCCCGCACAGTTAACTTGGGAAGCTCCACCCCAGTGAACATAAACTTGGGGTGATAAATTCTGCAGTAGCTGTGCTGTGGCTCTCTCCACATGTATCCCTGAGCCCTTGGGGACATTGAGGAAGGAAAGAAATGTCTTTTCCCTCTCCAAAGGGGAGAAGACTCCGGGGGATCTGGGTAAGCTCCCTGCAGCCATCCCTGTGAGAATGGGCCTGCCATAAGCACCCTGGCACCTGACTAGGGGGTTGGGAAGATTGGGTCACTGTGGGAGAGGGGCAGGCTGACACCCGCAGTCCCTACACTGCCCTCAACTGGTACTCACATGACGTGGACGATGACTCCCATGCCGGATACTGCGTCCCGGTCTACAGCATTCAGCATGGCTTGAGAGATGGTTTCAAACAGGTGTTCTGGATCCTGCCAACACAGAAGTCTTTCAAACCCCAGGCTCTGGACCCTCACTTGGTCTGACTCCTGACTTTCTTCTAGACTCAAGGTCTCCAGTGCAGGCGCCTCCAGGTCTGAAGCAAGGAATGGTTCCCTGGATCTAGTAAGTCCCCTCAACTCACAAGGAAACAGGAGTCTCTAAGGGAGAGTAGAAGGACTCCAAACTTGACCTTCCTCCATTATCCAGCAATGTCACCTCGGGCAAGTCACATGTCCCTTCACTAAGTCTCAATTCCTCATCTGTAAAATGGGAGGACATCTATCTAGCACCTACTTGCTTTACTAGCTATCACTCCCTGGTGTCCCAACAGGTATCTCAAAATTTACCCTGTTCAATCACAAACCTTGTTTTCCCAAACCAGTTCCTTCTCCTATATCTAGTGTCTTGACTGGCTAATCAGCTAGACGTCCTCAGTAGCTCTAAGTGGCCTGGTCCTCTTTTTTTTTTTTTTAAAGATTTATTTATTCATATAGAACTGGGGTACAGGCCAGAGATGCGGAGGGTTTGAGGACCCACCAGAGACAGAGCGGGGAGCGGAACAGGCAGATGGACAAAGTACACTGCTGAGGGGAGCAGCGGGCGGGTCAGGAGAGGTCTGCCACACCATGTGGTCACCTCTGGGGCAGGCGGGAATCAAACTCATGCGGAAGTGGCTTTAGCTTCTCAGTGCTGTGTTTTAACCCGCTGCGCCACCAGGGAGGGCCCAGCCTGGTCCTCTTTTCTCTGGCTGTCTCACCCACCTGCTCAAAAGTCAGTACCTTCTGCAGGTGGTGACAATAGTCTGTCACATCCACCTGCATGTTCTGGTTCCTGGGGCTCAATGTCTTTGACACCATCCAAGGAAAGAAAATTGCAACTCCTGGGCATGGCCTTCAAGGCCCCTGAAGTCTTACTCTCCATCGCCACCTCTCCCGCCTCAGCCACAGGGAGTGCTCTCCAGCCACTGTCCACACCAGCCCGCCTGTGCGGTTTTTTTTTCACCACAACTCAAAGTAGTTCTATCACTCCTACTGTATAGCTGAGGGAATGGAGGTAGAGGGGTAAGGTGACTTACTCAAGAACATAAACAGAAGCTCCACCCATGTTTTAGATTAGCTGGCACTAGCTCATGCCAGACACTGCTAGGTGGAGCTGAGTTCCGGCCTGGCTGCAGCCTAGCCTCCAGCCCAACACCTGTGAAAGGTTTGCTCAACATATGGAAGTGAGAACCTGCAAGCCCAATGTGAGGCATTATTTGTGAAGTACCTGACTGGGGTCCGCAAGAAGAAGGCTCTCCTCAGGGCCAGCCAGCCTGCACCAAGGACCTGGCAACGGAGTTCCTGAACCCCCACCAGGGGCTCCACACTGTGGCTTTCTCTCCTGCACGCTTTAACCTCCCGTCACCTGCCACACAAGCATGCTTGCCTCCGAAGGCCAGGGTGAGTATTTCAGAGCCCACCATCTGCAGGAAGGCCACCAACTCACCATGTTGGGCTCCCAGAGAGACTCACACATCCCATACATTTGCTCAGCGCAGGTACCACTGACCACAAAGTCATCAGTCACCATGGGGCAGCCGATGAGGTCTAGTGAGCAAATGAAGGGCTGAAAGGTCTTCGGGTCCAGCCCAGCAATGACTGGCTCTGTGTAGTAGGGGCCGAACCTGTGGGGGCGAAGAGCAGAGAGAACCAGAACTCAAATATGCCTATTCAGCCAGGCCCCAGCCAGACCCAGGGAGGGAAGTGGAAGACCTGTCCCGGAAGATCCCCTTTCCCGTAGTCAGCTTCGCTAAACTCTAGTCTCCCTCTCTCGGCATCTGCAGTTGTTTAAGACTTTTTTCTGTCTCTCACACTTAACCTTCATATCCTTTAACCCCTGAACCCCTTCCTCCTCAGGGAGTTTTGCTTTCTTCCTTCTTCTAATCCTGTCACCACAAATTCATTCTCTGTGCATCTATACCTTTACTCTTTTAGAACAAAGATGTCACACCGTTTATAGGAACAATTAAAAACAAAACACTATGACTAAGTGATCTGGTTAACCCACTAGTTTATGGTTTAAAGATGACCAGACTGGGTCCTCCTTGCATGCGAGCAAAGGACAGTCAGCCTGTCAGAAAGGTGCTGTAGGCCCTGAGCTGTCAGCCTCAATCTTGAGGCTCTCTACGCATAAAACACTCAAAAACTAATGCCTCCTCCACAACAGAAACGGGTCGTCATGTCATGTAAAAGCTCTCCCTGAGTTCCTTGTTTTTCTCTCGCCCTCAGTAATTTCTAATTGCATGACCTTAAGTCATGCACAGTAAAAAAATAATTCTCAGGAAAAAACCAACACGACTCAAAGGCAGGGGAAGGAGCTGGAGTAGTAGGGTGCTTCTCAAAATAGATCCCTCCAGATATTAAATTTCTTAAAGTTTTCATTTTGTATATTCCTCTCCACAGACAGGAAAATCACCTGGGTCACCATCTTTACCTATAGCAACCTAAGTTAAAAGCTGCACTTCCAGTCATGTAGATGCCTATTATTGCTGAAGCTATGCCTGACTTTTCCTTTGGTTTCTCACAGAAGTGCCAGCAAGCTTTCTCCCGGGCCTGTGACACATTTTCTCCTTTAAAAAGAGTTTGTATACAGTTCAAGCTAGTGAATCCCTACATCAGTTAAGCTTCTGGAAAACCAGTGATTTCACTAGGGCCAAGAGAGGAGAAAGCTCCTAGTTGCAGCAGCTAAGATTCCAGAATTTTCCAGGTCTGCCTTCATGTTGTGTATTTTTCTTACTTTCAATACGAGTCATTAAACGTATACTTAAACTTGAACATATATAATGTTACAAGGCTTTTCTCTCCCATATAAGTCATTTTAAAAGTCTTGTTAAGCCATTCTCAATTGGAGATGTTGATACCTGTGGCTACCGCACATGGCAGACAATTGACAACTCAGATACAGACATATACCTAAAAAGTGTAACCCTTGTTTTAATGTTTGTATTTATTTATTGGAGTAACATTGCATCATAGCTACGTAAGTGAGCACCACAGACGTCACCGTGTGCACACGCTACATTAAGCTCTCCAGTATGCTCCCCATACCACCATCCCCTTTGTCCCCCTTTATGCAAGGCATACTGTGAGATGCCTAGAAGTCAGGTCATCAGCTGTCTGTATTCCCTGCCCTCTTAAGTAGTCCTCTCTTTCCTGTGTAGTTGTCAGGCAG